TTCTGGCCCGCGGGCGCGCCGCCGGTGCCCGCGGCGGTGGCACCGGCAGGGCCGGTTGCGCCGCCCCTGCCGTCATGGGCCACCTCCTCCCCCTCCTGCAGGTCTTCCTTCAGCGCGCCCTGTGACTCATCAGGGGCCTCCAGGAGCTTGTCCCCAAAGTCAAACGTCAGGGCCGCAATCCGCGAGGCCAGGCTAGTGGTGGTCGCCACCTGGCGCAGGCGAGGCGGGGCGGCGCCGGACGCGTGGGGCGGGGCCGCGGCGCGCGGGAGGGGCCGCTGGCGGCGCGCGGCGAAAGCGCCCCGTGCGCGGCATCGGCCGCGCGGGCACGCACCGTTGACACTGAGTGTTGGCTCCTTCGATCATCTTGGTCCTCTGACTGTGCGTCGAGCACGCCCACCATGGCGCACCCGCCGCCACCAGAGAGGCGCGCGCGCGCCCCCGGTCAGCTGACAGCACGCTCGAGAGTCTGAACCGCCCTGCTGCGCCGGCGCGCCGGCCCTGCAAATCGGAACGACGGCGCACAGCATGTGTGCCTTGTGATCCTGCTGTAACGCGCGTGCACAGCGCGACCGCATGGCAATGCGGTGATGCTCAGCAACGATGCTGAACCGCTCCTTGGGGCGCGATGCACAGCGCGCCCATCACACTCACGAGATGGGCGCCGCCTGCGAGCAGGCCTGAAAGCTCACTACTGTGCTGCCCTACCCCTAACTGCGGTGCTCGAAAGACTTTTTTGGTGGACGATATCCACTTCGATTAGCGTGATCGAGACCATGAAAGGAGCTGTATGTGAAAGGTGCAATCCAAGTTTTGCGGGCTTGTACCGTACTCTGGCCAGACAATGGTACGAACAGAGAGGCTGTCGTGGCAGCAGGTGAGTGGGTGCAAGACGAAGCTCGCAATCTGTGTCGACAGGTACCGTACGCTCACACGCACCACAGGCCTTTCTGCTCATGAAAGGTGCTCGAGTTCACAATATCATACGTAGCATGCGCGGCTCGCACCCGTGCCACATCACAACCCCCGCGCAATGGAGGCCATCCAGGCTTTCTACCCATCCTTAGGGCGTGAAGAGGTAACATCATGGCTCTGAATGTCGCGTGTGGGGTCGCTGGGGCCCTGACGGGCCCTGCGATGCTGCTGCGCTGCACTGCTCGGCCAGCAGTTCGCCCATCTGCACGCCCAACGCGGTCATCTGCCCTCCCAAATCCTCGACACAGCTATGTAAGTACTGGGAGCTTGGCGGAGGCGACGCAGGCATGTGCCATACGCTGCTCGAGGCCGCAGGGGTCCAGAAGGTGTCGCCTGTGCTCGCGCCCGCGCTTGGACCTGTGCCGCTGATGAGGCCGGGACCGCCCGGGGCCGTGGCCCGGCGGGGCCCCTACCTTCCCGGCCAGAGCCGACAGTGGTGGCCAGCACACGCGCTGACCACGCCGGCCATGCACCGCGCCGGCGCCCTCGTCGGCGCCCAGCCGCACCCTTTGAATTTCCGCCCGGCGCCGCATGCGCCGCTCGCGCGCGGCCCGCGCTCCCCGCGGCACGCCCTCGCGCCGCCCAGCCCCCAGCAGTCCCCGGGAGCCGGCACCTGGCACGGCCGCGAGCTCGATTTACAACAAATGAACAATGGTCCCATAGTATTGCCACCCACGTTGGCCTCTTCCGAAATTTGCGCCACCCGGCTCGACGAGACGGACGGCTGGGGCCCGCCCCCCATGCCGGACGCTGCATTGAATGGCATTTATGAAATTTCAGAGGGCTCCAAGCCCCCAGAGCCGGACGACGATTTGGACGAATTAATGAATGCGCTCGAGGTGGACAGAGGAGCGGACGCGCCTGCAGGCGCCGCGGCCAGGCCGGCGGTCGCGCCGGCTTTGTTGGTCGCGGCGCCGCAGCAGGCCCTCATCTCCTCCCCTTTGTGCACCCCTGTAGCCACCCCCAAATCTGAGGTTGCGCATGCTGCAGCCGTTTTCGGCACGCCGGGCGCGGTGGTGTCATCGCCGGTACTGTCTGCCCGCGCGCGCGGCCCGTCCACTGCGCCGCCGCAGCTGCCCGCACACTTGGCCGGGGCCTGGGGCCTGTGCAGGCCACATGCGTCGCCAGCCACCAGCCCGCCCATCATGCCCCTGGTTCCCCACCTGCCCCCGCCGCCCGCCGCGCTCTGCGGCTCGCCGACGGCCCCTGCCCTGACGCCGCCGGCGCGCCCGCGCGCGAGCGACGCCGGCGGTTTGGACGGCGCAGACGACGCGCCGCTGGTCAGCCGGCGTGCGCCGCCGCTGGCCCTGCCGCCCGCTGCGCACGGCCCCGCCGCGCCCGCGGCGCGGCCGTGCGGCCGCGTGAGGGGCGTCCTGTTTGCCGCCGTGTTCCTCACGCCGGCGTCGCGTGAGGTGCTGCTGGCGGTGCTGCCCGCGCGCCACCCGCTGGTGCGGGGCGACCACATGATCCTCGCGCTGCGCCCCACCAAGGCGCAGCTGCTCGCGCTGCCGCTCGGCGCGGAGGTGCCCCTCCGCATCATCGGGCAGGCGGCCGACAGCCGAGCCCAGGCGCTCGCCGCGGACCCGCCCGCGTGGCTGCCGCCGACCGCCGCCGGCGCGACGCACGTGGCGCTGTCGCTGGCGCCGGGCGTGCGGGGGCGCGAGGCGGGGGCGCTTCTGATAGACGCGCTGCAGCGCGCGGCGGCTGGGTGCGGCGCGGAGGACGCTTTTGGCGGCGCCGCTCCAGGTGAGGCGGCCGGCTCCTGGGGTACTTTCCGCACCCTGGCCAGACAGCCGGACATGGGTGAATAGATTGAGATCTTGAGAGCGGAGAGGGCCCCGCGCATGCCACTGACATGGTGATGTCTGGCACCCCCTCTTGTGGTCGCCAGCCCTGACCCCCCCCCCCCTTGCGCGGCGCTTTCTTCACCGACTGCGGCCAGCCCAACCCACCAGCCAGCGCCAACCAATCGTCTCCGCGCGTCGACCCGCCGCGCCCGCAGGTGCCTATGAGCACTTCTCAGACCCCCTCGAGCTGGCCGGCTTTGTGGGCGTGGCGCTGGAGAGCGGGGAGCGCGCCTTCTCGCTGCGCGCCCTGCGGGACCGCGGCCTGCTGGCCCTCACGGCGGCGCAGGAGGCGGCGTATGACGCGGCGCACGGCGCGCGGCTGCGCTCTGCGGTGGGTCTTCCTCGCTTGGCGAGGCATTGCGCTGCGTTGAGGTGCCGCGGCTGCTTCTGCTTGCCAAGCTGCCTGCCCTCAGTGCCTTCAGCTTTCCAAATCATTGGTCGGCTTGCAATGTAGCCGCCTTTCCCACCGGAGTTTGCTGCTGCTGCCCCCCAAACCGCACGCGCAGCCGCCCGTCCCTCCAGCCATGACGACGCCGCCTTACCAGTTACAGTATGGTACATGCAGCGCGGCCCCGTCCTCAGCTGGCTCCGCCAGCGACGCCGAGGCCCCCGCAGCGCAGTCGCCGCAGGCGGCTCCGGCACCCGCGGCGCCGCCGGCGCCGAGCTCGAGGCTCCTCGGGCTGGCCGCCGCGGCGGCCGCGCCCCCATTCTCGCCCTCTCCCCTGCCGGCCTCCGCCGCGCAGGCGTCGGTTAGGAGCGCCGCGCACGACGGCGGCGGCCTGGGCGACTTTTGGGGCGCCGTGGAGGGGCCCCATATTGCGCTGCGCTCCCTGGGGCCTCCGCTGCCGTTATGCCAGGCGCCCCTGGTTGCTCTGACCACCGGCCTCGCCGCCGCCGCGTCCGGCTCGTCGTGCTCTCCTTCGGGAGCTGTTGCCTATCAGGGTGACAGCGCCGCGCTCGCCCGCGGCGGGCGGACGAGCAGCGGCGACACCGGCAGCGGCGGTGGCGGCGGCGGCGGCAGCGCCGCGAGCAGCAGCAGCGGGGACGGCCCCGTGGTGTATGCGAGCGCGGTGCACGCGGGCGACTGGGCGCTCGTGGTGCCGCTGCTGGCGGAGGAGGCGCGCGACGAGGCGGGGCGCGCGGCCGTGGTGATGCGCGAGGGCTGGGTCAAGGACGTGGTGGCGGACGAGCCTTACCAGCCTAAGGGTGAGCGGCTGCTTGTGTCGCAGCACTTGGGCGCGTCGGTCTGGGAGGGTCTCGGGGGCCGCCCCGCAGGGCTTGCAGGGGGTTAGCAGCGAGCCTGGCAGTGCTGTTGCACACAGGTTGCTGCAGCCAGCGGCGCCTGGTTGCTGCAGCCAGCGGCGGCAAGTGGTTCGTTGCTCTGGCTCGCGCGACTCTCTCTGTACTTGAGCAAAGCACTCAACATGCACACGCACACACACGCAGGTGCACACGCACCCGATGTATGCACGCCCATTCGCCCGCTCAACACGACCCCACCCCACCCCCCCTCCCCCCCCAGGCGTCCTGGTGCTGCTGCAGGACAACACCAT